TACGAGACTCGAACCCGCAACCTTTGGGTTACAAGTCCAACTCTCTAACCATTAGGCCACGACTTCTGGTATACGTTACATGCAATTTTGGGGGTCGATATGACGGTTTAAAGCTTTTGTCTTGACCCTGTATAAATAATATCAGAAATAAGAGTTTAGTTTGGAAAGCTTTGATTAGTAATATGATATCTACTACCTCTAAACTGATTAAACTCTGCGTAAATACAACGCAACAGTGAGTTTTCTGGTGGATGGTTCATGTGCAGATCACGTGGTACAGAGCTGGACCAATAGAATTGCGAGTCGTGTTGTACGGCCCAAATATTAAAAACACGAGCATCTTTTTTAACGGTGCTGTCAGCGAGAGTGAGTAAAAGCGCTAAATATGGTGAAATTTGCGTCTTATTATTAATTGTTTAAATTAATGTGGCATGTTTTAATAATGCGAATATGTCGAAAGATCTGTTGTTGATAATGTGATAGAGTTAGATGAACATCAGACGTCATGTTCATGTTAGCAAGCTGGCTAATCGAGCTCATCAGTCTTATGAAAGTTGGTTTCGAAAGGCGTAGTGCTGGGAGTTTCTAATGTCTCATTCTTAATAAATGAAACAATATAAAGGAAATATAGTAGAATATATAATATTGCCAAAGAAATCGCAAAATAGTATATTGTACATAACGTTACACTGTCAAAAGCAATATTCTAAACAATCTGATAAAAAAAAAAAAACAGTTATGTTCTATGTTCTACAGTGTTATTAAATAGTTTAAAGTATAATTTTTTAATTTTTTATTATGATGTTGTTTAAAACGGCAAAACTGCTGTTAACTAAGGGGGCGTGGTGCATCATGAATATTATTATAAACAGCAGGTTGAAAATACTTTGGACAATTCCCAGTGTACAAATAAGTGAAATTGCATTTGTTTATTTTTTATTTAATCATTTATTTTTTGAAATATATATACAGATTCCTTCTAATGTATTAAGAGGCGTAGATCATATCTATGCATTAGTTTAGTGTTTAGACATGTTTAACTCACAAAATCCTGCTCTGTCTTCCATCCTCTTATCAAACAGCCAGAAACATGGCCATGGCACAGTCAACACTGATGTTCGCAGTGTGCATCTTGATGATAACTGAACTCATACTGGCCAGAAAGGACTACTATGACATCCTCGGTGTGCCAAAAGATGCTTCCGAACGTCAGATCAAAAAAGCTTTTCACAAGCTTGCCATGAAATATCACCCAGACAAGAACAAGAGCCCCGATGCTGAAACCAAATTTCGAGAGATTGCAGAAGGTGGGTTATATATACACTACCTGTCAAAAGTTTGTGATATTTAAGAATTTTTCATGTCTGTGTAAGTAGTCACTAATGTTCACCATGGCGGCATTTATTTGTTGATAAAAAAATAAATATTGTAATTAATAGTTTTCTATTTTAATATATATAAAAAGTTTTTCCTGAATTTTCAGCATCATTACTCCAGTCTTCAGTGTCACATGATTCTTCAGAAATCATTCAGATATGTTGGTTTGGTGTTCAGTTATTATCGGTTATTGTTGATGTTCAAGTATAAATAATGGTTTTTATTATTATCAATGTTGAAAACAGTTTTTCTGCTTAATATTTTTGTGGAAACCATGCTACTTTTTTCAGGATTCTTTGATGAATAGAAAGTTCAAAACAACAGCACTTAGATAGAAATATATTATAAACGTGTATGCAAGTGCAAAAATTGCACTTTAATATATATTAAAATAGAAAACAGTAATTTTAATTTGTAATATGCAAGTAACTGTATTTTTGTTCAAATAAATGCAGCCTAAAAAAATTAATTAATCCAAACTTTTGTTGTTTAAAGCAAAGATTCCTCGATTTGTTCAGTCTGATATGCATAATTTTTAACTCGTTCTGCAGCATATGAAACACTATCAGATGAGAAAAGAAGGCGAGAGTATGACCAATCAGGACACAATACATTCAGCCATGAAGACATGAATGGAGGAGGAGGGCAGCGTTTTCATCAATCCTTTGATTTTAACTTTGATGACATGTTCAGAGACTTTGACGTCTATAGCCAAAACAGGCACGCTCGCCCAAAACGGCACTTTGATGAGCACTTCAGGGCCCACCAGCAAGCACACAATGGCCATAAGAGACACTTCCAGGGTACTTTTGGTTCCGGAGTCTTTGAGGACACGTTTGAAGACATGGAGAAGATGTTTGCATTTGACCGACACATGAAAAGGACAGAGAGCAGGTTTCAGGGCACAGCCAAACAGCACTGTAGAACAGTGACGCAGCGAAGAGGAAACATGGTCACCACGTACACTGACTGCACCTCATCCTGAACATCAGAGTGGGCCACAGATTGGACCATCACACTTTTATTTTTATGCCTGATTTAGATGGAGACATGGAGTTATTAATTTGCTGCTGTGATAAGTGGGGTTTGATTTTACATGTGACTGATCTGTTATTTATGATGAGAATGGGTGCATTTGTTTCCATTGGTTTGACTGAGATTTATAATTGACACTATGTTGGATAGTGGCCTCTTAAAGGAATAGTTCACCTCAAAATGAAAATTTGAAATGTACTCACCCTCAGGCCATACAAGATGTGGATGAGTTTTTCTTCGTGGGAACAGATTTGGAGAGATTTAGCATCACAACACTTGCTCACCAATGGATCCTCTGCAGTGAATGGGTGCCGTCAGAACGAGAGCCCAAACAGCTCATAAAAACATCACAATAATCAACATGTAATCCACACGACTCCAGTCCATCAATTAATGTCCTGTGAAATATCTGTGTGTTTGTAAGAAACAAATCCATCATTAAGGTGTTTCAACTTTAAACTGCCGCTTCTGGCTAAAATAGTCCATGAACCATAATAACGTTTCCTCCGGTAAAAAAGGTCCATCCCCCGTTGTCCTCTCACATCAAAATCCACTGACATATTTGTTTAAAATTGTTTTGGCTTGTAAACAGTGATTGATCTGTGCATTTCTTTCCCAACTCAGACTAGGTGACTTTTTCACTTGAAAAAGCAGTATTATAAACAGGACTTGTATTTTAGCTGGAAGCAACAGTTTGAAGTTTAAAACGTCTTATTGATGGATTTGTTTCTTACAAACATGCAGCTTTTCACTTCACAAGACGTTAATTGTTGGACTGGAGTTGTGTACTGGGGTGTACATCGTGATGTACTTTTTTGAACTTCTATTCTGACGGCACCCATTCACTGCAGAAATGTACATTTTCAGCATATTTTGATTTTTTGGATGAACTGTTCCTGTTTAAAACAGAGTCTAGTTTTAGGTTTTTGATGAGGTTGTTTTCATCCCTGCAGCACTAAATTAAAAAAATGGCCATTAATTTATGAATAACAAACTACATTTGATGACACTCTAATATTAGTGTGCATTTGTTTAAATTGCACTTTCTTGATCATATGAAACAAGTTGTTATTCGCACAAAAATTCTGTTTCATGCCTGGTTAGCTACTAATATCCCCTACTCTACTGAAAGAACGAATGTGCTGAAATCCTGAATCATGATTTGATGAAAACATCAGACAGACAGTTTAGCTCTTCCATTATCTTCTCTACTTATCCAAGGTTGTATATTTTGTTGTAGTGTTGGTGCAGCTGAAGGCTCATGGTATGAGTCTTTGGGATTCACATCTTCATGAACTGGTCTCTTTATTTTTATGTGAAGCTTAACAAATGTTTGCTGCATTGCCGTGAATAATATAGTTCATTATATTGAAGTAGTTTCTTTCAAACTAACACTTATTAGATAGAAAGGTGCCTTCCCACTCATTGTGGTAGATTGATTTTAATGTAATCAGATTGGAGCACTTCTATGACCTTGTGTGTTATAGTTTGCATGGCTGAGAGAAAGTAGGTCTCAGTTTTTTGTTTTTTGTTTTGTTTGTAACAGAACATATGAGTTGAGATTGTTTTATATGGCAGTTACCCCTAAAAAAAAAAAGACAAGGGGAATGTACCAATTTAGCATTTGCCTGACAATGTTTTTTGTAAATACAATGTATAACCCAGCTGTGTTCCTGTATGACTTCACCTGTGACCTGTTTTGTCGAATAATCCTGTGTGCAATATTTAAAGACAGCTCTCATGTTGTTTTAACTGTTACCCGCTGACATAGTTGTTATGAAATGAGTCTCGGTAGACTCATGATCTGGCACTTTCTTTATTGTAATCCCATGGATGAAAAGTAAATCTGAAATAGGCTGTTCGAACCCAGATGTATGTATACTTGGGTTAACAATAAATAGTGTTGAAAACTATTTGTTTGATGGCCTTTTTCTTTTCATAAAACATTTATTTAGTTTTATTTGTTTTATGAAGTGCCCACATTTTTAGTACCCTCAGTTAACTTGAATGGATATAACATTTTGATTGTAATATACAAATGTAGATGCTTAATATATCAAATAGATAGAACGTGGGATAGAAAGATAAACAGACATATACAATTATTAATGTTACTGAGGAAGTTTGAAACAGTCTTGCTCAAAACCCATTTTTACATATTTATTAAATTACTTTAAACAATACTGAAGTTTTTTTAAATTTTTTTACAAATGTTAAATTAAAAGGCTCTCAGTTCCTGATATTGATGAAAAATATGATATTGATAATGTAAGTGGCTTTATTTATTTATACAAAAGTATATATACAAAAAAAGATGTATAGTTGTTCAGATAACCATATTAATAACACCACGTGCCTACTTGTGTCATAATTTATGTAATACTGCCACTTTAACTATGTTCAGTGCTACCTCACCCAAAACATGTTTAAATATTTTTGTTGCACCCCATACGGTTGCCTTGGCGCATTCACTCAGAACAATGCTTGGAAATGTAGTTTATTTCCAGAAAATTCAAAAGTGGGTCAACAGCTGTTGTTTCGTGTAAAACTACAAGTCCCACAATGCACCAATACACCGGTGCGCAGTTTTTCCTCGGCCGGGTTGGTTCATGGTGCGACTGTGAGGGACATTGGATGACTTTGTGCCGTGTTTAGCCGGGGTATTCGCCTTAGCTCATTCATTTTGACAGGGGAAGAGGTCGTCAACGCGATGGAGGCTCTTATTCCTGTCATTAACAAACTCCAGGATGTTTTTAACACAGTCGGGGCGGATATTATCCAGCTGCCTCAGATTGCAGTGGTGGGAACGCAGGTAACGTTAACGTTAATGTTTCAGTTGCGGTTTCCATTCAGATTGAAACAGGTCTATGGTAGTGTCTCAAAACCTAGTGAGGTACCTACCTAGACTTCATTTTTGGGCGCCAAAGTTCCGATGGTATCTAAGGTTCGAGCGCGCCTATGAAGCCCCCTAACTAGACAGTTCACTTGTTTAGAAACACAGCCTAGTATTAGCTATATTTATTTATTGTTGCGACATTTTTTCAAAATTACATATGGCAAGGTCAACGACAAATAAACGAATGTCGCATTAAATATACCGAAAATTAAGACTACAATCAAAATCTGTAGCGAGCTTTAAAATAATGTTATCAGCGCTATCCAGCTAACTAGCATGCTAACTCAAGCCCTCGCTTGTTTCCTCATTCCTATTTCAATAATTGACTTCACGGTCATATTATTTGAAAATTCCTACTGTTAGGAATATGTTTATGTTTTAACAGTGTGAGCAATATCACAACGTGAGTTGTAGAGTTGTGCTGATCTCAGTACAGCAGCTAACAGATGAAGAGATGCGCCATGGTCGGTCTGAACTGGACAGTAGTGATGGGAAGTTCGGTTCTTTTCCGCGAACCGGTTCTTTCGGACAGTTCGATTCAATAAACCGGTTGAAAAAACCGGTTCACCGGTTCTTTTACGCTCGACGTAATGACGTCATTGGCGATGACGTAATGGCCAGTTTGGACTGAACAGCTGCAGCAGGAATCACTCTACAAGGACAAAACGGGTGAAAAGGATTGTGGATCTTTTCCATCCTGAAATTACACAAGATATCTGCATCATTTCATTATGGAAGTATTGTATACTTGATAGTGTTGTAATAAAGACCTTTAATGGAAGTAAACCAGAGACTGACTCATGAAGTAGAGGAGTTTCCTACTGTCTGCCACATACACTTAAGGTCTAATAAGTTTAAAGAGTCTTAAAGTAGGGACTTTCACTGACCGCTTAAGAGGATATGGCTGTCTGGGTGGCCAAGAAAGTCTTGTTAACCCTGTAAAGCCTGACATATGAAATAAAAACTAAGTAAAGTTTGCACATGTGTTTCTTTTTTTATTTAATTAATTTCTTTATTTATTTTTTGTATCATATTTGATACATCAGGCTTTTATGGCTCATATAGTATGATATAGTGAGAATATGGAGCTCACCCTCAATCTGTCAAACTGAGCAAAATATGCAATTTGATGCAGATGTTATTATTTATATAGGTACAAATGTAGGATTAAATACTGATAGTTTATAATGAGATTATTTAAAACAGTATATCAGACTATTAAAATGCATAAAAATATAAATTGTCACTCTATCTCCCAATAATATTTCTTAGTATGTTGATATTTAAATGTTTAGTTTAATGATCAAAGCCCTGTAGTTTTTATTGTGGGGCAAAACGTATAATGCAATGCAAATTTTGAGCATGTTGATTATTTAGAGCCATTAGAAGTTCAAATATGATACAGTAAGATTTATAGGGTTAATCTGTCAAAGTACTGGTTTGATCAACAAAGTACATTTTTAGTTACTTAAAACATTTTTTTTTCTCAACTAAATGTTCAGACGTCCAGATAGATTTAGTCAGTACTGACTTGTTTGTTTTCTGTGGTTCATCTGATTTGCAGAGCAGTGGGAAGAGTTCAGTGCTGGAGAGTTTGGTTGGCAGGGACCTCCTGCCCCGCGGGACGGGCATCGTCACCCGCAGACCTCTTATCCTGCAGCTGGTGCACGTAGACCCCGAGGACAGAAGAAAGACCAGCGAGGAGAACGGTATCTCTTTTTTTTTTTCTATTTGCATCAAAAAAGCATGAATTAATGACCTGCCGTTTGTGTCTGTGGGATTTAGGAAGTTACTCTGTGCTGCTTTTTTTCTCATTTGGTTGCTCAATCAATGGCGATGCAGCAGTGTCAGGTACTAAATCAAAAGAGAAAGGGAAAGGTAGTGATCCGAGCCGATTTATTCCTGACTGTGTGCTGTTTGTTTAAATAAAATATGTGAACTTTCCAAACACAAAGTATCTAGTCCATACAAATCCATAGATGAAGCTTTTAGCATGGGTGTCTCTGCATTTGTGTGGTTTTGGCTACTGTAGAGTCCTATAAAGACGGCATTGCTGCAGGCTAACTCTGTCATCTCTCTTTAAACACAGACCCCAATGCCTGGAAAAATGGGCTCTTTTACAAAGGTCTCCGTTTCTTTGTTCCTTGCCCTTTTGCTTGTGTTGAGCAGCTTTGTGCTTTTCCTCATCCTGCTTCCATTATTTGATTATAAGCTTTGGTTATGCTGCCAATGCAATGGCTTAGCTTAAACAAACCCAGACTGAAGTATTTAGAGTACAATACAGTTTCAGTTTCAAATTTGAAGTGGTGAGTATGAATGATTTGGGACTCTTAAATGTCTGTTCACTCACTAATAACTCTCTAACAGTCATCAATTGCTATTTAAATGTCACCTTGTAGTGAAGATTCAACATCTTTATTAGGACAGTGTGTTTTAGAATACGCTAGGTATGCTGTGCTACCCACTTGGCATTTGTTTTGTAGCAGTTTTTGTTTCATTTGCTGTACTGGTGCTTTTGAAAAATAGAGACGATGTGTTGTCGTGGAACAAAAGCCTATCCTACTTAGCAGAGTAAACTCCCCGAAGAACGTGAACGTTTACATAGGTTATGTGACCCAGTATTGTGTCACTGATAATGTCATTGTCACTGTTGTTTCCCACAGGAGTGGATGGAGAAGAGTGGGGGAAATTTCTACACACCAAAAACAAGGTAAAGAAAGCAGTACAACAGATATTTGGACAAAGAATTCACAATCAGCTTTGTCACAAACATGTGTGACCCTTTGAATATTTTTAGGCATCCATATGAACCACTTTATTAATTGCATGGATAATGTATATTTATAAACTTATTTTTCTCATGAAAAATTTCCACCTAAATCAGATACGCACATGAATTTGTTCTTAACCTTGTTGTAAGGTTAATGGATTTGAAATATTCCAATTACATAAAAGGGAATTTCACACAAACCTGTGGTCACTCTCGGCAAACATACAACGCTCTCTAAAAATGTGCTCTCGGCTGTAAGAACATGCAGCAAGTTCCTCAAGCAATGTCAAGTGTGCTGTCCTCAAAACCAGTTCAAATTCAATAAACAACTTTTAAACTGATTACTGTACATATGTATATTTAAGATGAAAGAATCTAAGTAAAATTTCATCTTAAGATGTTTATTGTTTTAAGTCATTCTGGTCATCAGATACATTTATGCTCCAAACAACAGTGCAGTAAGTTAGTTTGGTTTCATAGTTTGATGAGCAGATGAAGAAGAACTAGCCCTTTAATTTCTGTTGGTCTAAATGATCACAGGAGGTATTCTCAGTGCGGTCTGGTGTCCAGACACATGCTGTGCGTTCACCTCATGTAACATTAATGCCATTCCTTGGTGGGTTTTTTTTCTCTTTAATTTTATGGAAGTTTGATTTAAGTCTTTGTGAAGTAAGATATCATGATTGTTAATATCGTGTCTCTGCCTTTTAGATCTACACAGATTTTGATGAAATCAGGCAAGAAATTGAAAATGAAACTGAAAGAGTTTCTGGCAATAATAAGGTAAGGAAGAGTCTTTAAAGGGGTCATATGATGCGATTTCAAGTTTTCCTTTCTCTTTGGAGTGTTACAAGCTGATTGTGCATAGATAAGATCCCTGAAGTTGCAAAGACTAAAGTCTCAAAACCAAAGAGATATTCTTTATCAAAGTTAAGACTGCCACGCCCCCCTAAAACGGCTCGTTCTAACACGCCCCCACATATCTAGGTCACTATGTGGGAATATTTGCATAATGTGCCCAAATGTGCATGCAAAGAAAGAAGGCGTGGTTTCAGTAACCGCAGTTAGTGTTGAAGCAGCCATGTCAGAGAGACGCTGTGTGTTTCTAGGCGAAAGCAAAAGCACTTTATTTGGCCTTCCGAAAGTAGATGCATTTAGGAATCTTTAAGATCACTTACAACAGAACAGCAATGCATTTTATGGATGACCGTTTCATGAACCTAGGAGAGGAGGTAATTCTGACTTTGCTATGACAATCTGGCGCTTCTGAATCAGCGACTGTAAGTATGTTTTGTTACTAGTTTAAGCATTTGCTATTGACTGTTCAAATGCGGAGTTTTGCGCATCGTGTGTGAGAGAGAGAGAGAGAGAGACAGCGTCACATCACAGTAGAGTCAGCTGTCTTAACCGCAGCTTGTGTACTACATCATTACTGTGTCTGTTCCCTTTTCAGGCTTGAACTGATGGTAAAACTAATGACATTATTTACTGTCTTTACATTTATTTTGAAAGATGAAGCTCGCGATTATGGTAAGGGGCGTTACATTTCCGACGAGTGCTTGCGGTGTTCGGCCAATCACAATGCACTGGGTGAGCTGGCCAATCAGAGCAGACTGCGCTTGTCGGAAGGAGGGACTTTGTAGAAAACGAAGCGTTTGAGAGAGGCGGGGCATAGAGGACCTACAATAATGTACAGTATTTGAAAAATAATGTGTTTTTTGAACATTAAAGCATGTCAACATATTCTGTTACACCAAATACACAAAATAATGATCTTTAAAAAAGCATCATATGACCCCTTTAAGTGAACTAAATCAGATGATTTTTTTTTTTTTTTAAGTTTGGGGTCAGTAGGATTTTTTATTATTTGTTCTTTTTTTTATTAATACGTTTTTTTCAGCAAGGTAGCATTAAATTTATCAAAATTGTTAGTGAAGACAATTATAATGTTACAAACGATTTCTGTTTCAAATAAATGCTGTTATTTTCAACTTTTCAGAATCCTGAAAAAAAAAGTATGATGGTTTCCACAAAAATATTAAACGGCAAAACTGTTTTCAACATTGATAAATGTTTTTGAGCAGCAAATCGGCATATTAGAATAATTTCTGAAGGATCATGTGATGCTGAGGACTGGAGTAATGACTGCTGGAATTTCAGATTTACCATCACAGGAATAAATTTAAATTTAAAAATATAACAAAATAGAAATAGTTATTTTTAGGGATGCTCCAATCAGGATTTTTGCAGCCGATACTGAGTACCGATTTCTTGTCATGGTGATCGGCCGATACCGATGCCGATTCTGATGCTTCAAGCTTTATATAGACGGTTTCAATGGGCGCACGCGCCTGGCCCGAAGTTAACTTCCGGTCTGTGTTTGTTTATCAGTCTGGCTATGGCACCGGCTACAAACGCAGTTAAAAGTTAAGGTGATGAATAGACTGAAGTTGGGCTCAGGTGGTTGTGCTGTGGGATGTTTCCCATACATTTATTTATTTGTGGCTCTCACCACAATATCAAAACTGACGGATTTTCCAAAAGGCTTCATTTTTTATATCACTGTATTTCTGAAGGAAGACTATCTTTAGAAAATGTTCGATGTCATTTTCATTTAATCTTGCATGTTATATGCCTGATAAAGCAGCGTTTGTGAGCTCAGCGCTGCTTTGTGTACAGCTGTTACTGGGGAAACCTCTGTTTTTGTTCCGTCCTCCACGCTGTGACAACTCACAAAAGACTATTTTTAACCAAGCAGCGCGGAGAGCCGCTTCAGAAACGTGCCGCGGCTGGCTGATAAACACAAGCACTGACTAGAGCGGCCGCGATCATCTCCGGTGGCCGTGGAGCCATAACGCACCGCAGACGCATGCAGTGAGGCGCAGATCAGCTCTAACGTCACTGAATCTGCTGTTAAAAATGAACCATCTATTCATCATATCATCATGCAAAACATACACGACAAACAGCGAATTTTTCATTGTTTCTTGAAACGTCATAACATTTCCACACCGGCGATGACATGACTGCGGCGCCAAATCATTTATGTCCCCACGCATCATGTACGTCGTCACGCGTTGACGTCATCAAATTGTGATCGGTTCCTGAGATCGGCCAAGTCAGTGAGTAGCGATCGAGTCATAAAATATGATTATCGGCCGATACCGATCTCCGGCCGATCGATCGGAGCATCCCTAGTTATTTTAAATTGTAATAATATTTCACAATATTAGTGACTTTACTGTATTTTTAATCAAATAAATGAAGCCTTAGTGAGTAAAGTGAAGTGACGTGGCGTGTGGCCAAGTATGGTGTCCCATACTCATTTGTGCTCTGCATTTAACCCATCCAAGTGCACACACACAGCAGTGAGTAGTGAACATACACACACACACACACATACCGGAGCAGTGGGCAGCCATATTGCTGTGGTGTTGAAGGTAGAAGAGAGCTCTGGTTGTTCACTCCCCTCACTGACAATTCCTGTCGGTACCAAGACTCGAACCTGTGACCTTTGGTATACCAGTCTGACTCTCTAACCGTAATGCCACGTTAGTGAACATAAATTCTTTCAAAAACTTGAAAAAATTCTTACCAACCCCAAACTTTTGAATTGTAGTGTAGCTCCTATTGACATCTGCAGTTTAAGAAATACAGAATGTTGTGTCATTGTTTCACAGGGGATCAGCGATGAGCCAATTCACCTGAAAATCTTCTCACCACATGTTGTCAATCTCACACTGGTGGATCTGCCTGGCATCACAAAGGTGTTTTATTTAGTAGCTTAGCTTGGCCTGTTTGAATATTCCTTTTGTGGATTATTTTTTGATACTGACACTGATATATTCATGTTCAGGTCCCAGTGGGAGACCAGCCTAAAGATATCGAGCTGCAGATCCGCGAACTGATCTTAAAATACATCAGCAATCCCAACTGCATCATTTTAGCTGTCACTGCAGCGAACACGGACATGGCCACCTCTGAAGCTCTGAAAGTCGCCCGTGAGGTGGATCCAGACGGTCAGCATATTAACCTTTATTTTGGTCTGCTTGTGCATTTTTTATTTATTTTTTTTGCACACAATGTCTGTACCTTTCAGTTTGTGTGATGTGATGTTACCCACTGTATATGTGTGTGTGTGTGAAAATGAGAATATTAAAGAATTATATAAGTATAATTAAACAAAAATACTGATTGTGATATTAGTATATTAACAAAATATACAAAAGTTTAGTTTTTTTATTTTTTATTTTCTAAAAAAGATGACTAAATGTCTTAATACAGGAGTCAGCTGAACATCAATAATAAGAAAATTGTGGCAGACTCCATCCGTGATGAGCACGCCTTCCTGCAGAAGAAATACCCCTCCCTCGCCAACAGAAACGGAACCAAGTATCTCGCCAGAACATTAAATAGGTGAGAGTTTAAGCTTGAAACATCAAATTTGATTCATTTTGCTGAGCATATCTGCTTTTTGAAGTATTAATATCCTATTTTTTCTATCAGGTTATTGATGCATCACATTAGGGACTGTCTACCAGAGCTGAAGACACGTATCAACGTTTTAGCAGCTCAGTATCAGTCCCTGCTCAGCAGCTACGGTGAGCCGGTAGAGGACATGAGCTCCACCCTGCTGCAACTCATCACAAAGTTCGCTGCCGAGTACTGCAACACTATTGAAGGAACGGCCAAATACATTGAGACCGCTGAACTGTTAGTTCCCCTTTTCTTCCAGTTACTCAAATTAAGCTGTTTAATTTGCTATATACTCTACCGTTCAAAAGTTTGGGGTTGGTAAGATTTTTTTAATGTTGTTGAAAAAAGACTCATCAAGGCTTTTATTTGATTAAAAATACAGTCAAAACAGTAATATTGTGAAATAGTATTACCATTTAAAATAGCTGTTTTCTATTTAAATATATTTTAATATGTAATTTATTCCTGTGATGCAAAGCTGAGTTTTCAGCATCATTCACCAGTCTTCAGTGTCACATGATCCTTCAGAAATCATTCTAATCTGCTGATTTGATGCTCAAGAAACATTTCTGATTATCATCAATGTTGAAAACAGTTGTGCTGCTAAATATGTTTGTGGAAATGGTGATACTTTTTTTTTTCAGGAAAACTTTCTATTCTTTGCTGAATAGAAAGTTCAAAAGAACAGCATCTATTTGAAATGGAAATCTTTTGTAACATTATGTCTTTACTGTCACTTTTTGGTCAATTTAATGCATCCTTGCTGAATAAAAGTATTGATTTCTTTCAAATAAAAAAATCTTCCTGACTCCAAACTAGGTGGTATTAGTGCTAACCATAGTTGTTTGTTCTAATCTTTTAGGTGTGGTGGTGCAAGAATTTGTTATATTTTCCATGAGACATTTGGTAGGACACTGGAGTCGGTCGATCCTCTTGGAGGACTTACAACCATAGATGTCCTAACAGCTATTAGGAACGCTACGGTAGGTTGTGCAGTGAATATTTGACTCCTGCATCCTTTTTATAATTTGAATTTAGTCCCGACTGTACTTGTATGGATATAAAATAGAGACTGCAGCCAGCGGAGCTCTGCATTGAGCTGCAATGTGCTGCAGGTTTCAATTTTAGCAAAGCTCCTTTGAGGAACCTTTAATTATTCGAGTGTACAACACTGTAGAGTTAGATAGTTTGAGGTGTATATTTCTGTAGTTTGTAATGTAGCTGTTGTGTGTTTCTTCAGGGTCCCCGTCCTGCTCTGTTTGTGCCTGAGGTGTCGTTTGAGCTGCTGGTGAAGAGGCAGGTCAAGCGTCTGGAGGAGCCCAGTCTGCGCTGTGTGGAGCTGGTGCATGAAGAGATGCAGAGGATCATTCAGCACTGTAGCAACTACAGCACTCAGGTGGACTGATCAGTTATTGGTCTGCATATACATGCTCATCTTTGCCTTTTGCATCACGAAAGCAAAAGGTTTTTCCACTGTTGTTAAACAGTACATCAGTTAAGGACTGTTCACACTAAGAATGATAACTATAACTAAAGTTTACTAAACACTGATAGCGGAGTCCACATCATGAATATAACAATACCAACACCAAGGTACAATGTTGTTGGAATCACTTCCAGCTAATGAACGATAAAACCATTGATCAGAATCCACCCAACTCTAAAGAGCTTAAGCATTTGAAGCTGAAGACAAAATAACTGCAACACTTAGAATGAACTACTTCACTTAGAACTTGAACTGAACTTAGTATCGTCTGTTGGTGTAGATGCTGATATAGTTAGTGTTATAGGTGTGAATGGGCCTTTAGTGATAGCCAAGCTGATATTTGCTCATATTGAGATTAACAACATTGCCAAATATAACTGTGCCTGACTGGCCGATTAATAAATGTGACCCTAGACCACAAAACCAGTCATAAGGGTCAATTTTTTGAAATTGACAACTATTTGAAAATCTGGAATCTGAGGGTGCAAAAAAAATCAAAATACTGAGAAAATTGTCTTTAAAGTTGTCCAAATGAAGTTCTTAGCAAATGCATATTGCTAATCAACAATTAAGTTTTGATATATTTACGGTAGGAAATTTACAAAATATCTTCATGGAACATGATCTTTACTTAATATCCTAATGATTTTTGGCATAAAAGAAAAATCTATAATTTTGACCCATACAATAATTTTTTGTCTATTGCTAAAAAATATACCCAAGCGACTTAAGACTGGTTTTGTAGTCCAGGGTCACAAATGTCTCATCTACCACCAAGTGTCAGTTTGTGAATTTTGAGCAAATACTGTTGTTTAAAGGACATGTTGATATTATTTTATGTGCAACTTATTTTCCATATAGTTTTAATTTAGCACATTTTGTGCATAATTAAATGTTTATTGTACAACACATTGTTGTCTTTTTGTTTATTAATTATTATACTGTTTTATTAATTTAAAAATATATATATAAAATATTTTTCATTTTTGTGACTTTTTTTAAAGTTATATCAATAATTTATATTATTCTATATTATTAGTTTTATCAGTATTGTTTGAATTTTTTGTAGTTTTATTAGTATTATTATTATAGTTTTTGTTATTGTTATTATTTGATCATTTATTAATATATATTTTTTGTAATTATTCTAAGCTGATTATGAAGCTGAAGTGTACAAACTTAAATGTTTATTGTACACTTTTTTTTACCTTTTCTTATCTGTATACACAACATATTTGCATCCAACACTCAAATATAATTGCTGGTACTTTAAATGATTAGATGGGTTTTATCAGCATTGTTTGAATTTTTATTGTAATTTATTTATTTTTATTGTTTTTTTCTTTCCTAGGAGTTGCTTAGGTTTCCAAAGCTTCATGATGCCATAGTAGAAGTGGTGACGTCTCTTCTCAGGAAGCGGCTCCCAGTCACCAATGAGATGGTTTGTTTGTTTTTTCTCTCATGCTTTTTATGTAGTTTCTGTGCAAGTGTATCTTCTCTAAATTTGTGTTTACACTGTGCTCCAGGTTCACAATCTTGTGGCGATTGAGTTGGCTTATATCAACACCAAACACCCAGACTTCGCAGATGCCTGTGGGCTCATGAACAACAACATTGAGGTTTACTGATATTTTAATGACAATTTAATTTAGATTTATGACTGAAATGTATTGATCTGAGCATATTTCAGTGTGAAGTTTATTGTTGTTGTCTTCGTAACAGGAGCAGAGACGTAACCGAATGAGAGAGCTTCCCTCAGCGGTCCCCCGTGATAAGGTATGATGTTAAATCTTGAGCTATCAGAGGAAATTGTATTTTCTCAGGGCTGCTGTTTTATCTTTTGTTCACTTTTCCTCACTAGAAATTAGTTTGTTTCATAAACCAAAGTCTCGCGGCTTTTTCTTGCAGTTTTGAGCAGAATTAGTTTAAAACCTGCTGCCTTCCTCTCTAGCTGACTAGTCTCTTCTCTTCGTGTCTCTCTTTGTAGTCCTTAAAAGGTCCTGGTGGGCAGTCAGTGTCGCCCACCGAGCAGCCGCCTGCTGAGGGCGATGGCCCTAAGGTGTGTGGCGCCACCTGTGTGTAGGGGCAAAGCATGGAGTTGATTTTCAAGCCACTCAAACTGCTCTCCCTGACTGCATGGTCACCAACCTCTAAACTGACAGCAGATCATGTTTTTGCTGTGCAGTTTTGGTTTTACTCATCAGGATCTTCTCAAACTTCTGTTGTGTGTTTGCTGAGTTGATATAAAGGTTGATTTTGAAGACCCTTGACAACTGCAACTGTTTTTTTGCAGTTGTATCTTTTCAGTTCCTGGCCAGAATTGTTTTTTTATGTGTGAACTGTTATGTACAAACTTTATGTTCGGTTTGAAGCCTAAAAACAATACGTAAAGCACCAATAGACTGCATGGGAAGGGGCATGAAAATAATGAGTGGGCGTTCAGTCCTGTAGTGTTGATCTTGTTTGTGTGTGTCAGATGGCTGGAGGAGCTCAGGGGGAGCAGGAAGGAGGAACAGGGACCTGGAGAGGCATGTTGAAGAAAGGAGAAGAATATGAGGACAAGATGAAACCACAGAGCTCCGTCCCTGTCAGCCCTCAGAAAGGACACGCAGTGAACCTACTTGATGTGGTGAGTCCATAAAACACAAATACTTTTGATCATGCCACAGAAATTACTTAAAAACATGCACTCTGAGAGTAAATAAACACTGGTGTGTGTATCCGCAAGCATTTGTGTTCTCTTTGAGAGCCATTTGCTAGCACGGTCGGTCACAATGATTTAGAGTTGAGTTGATTTGTTCTGATCTTTGGCCAGCCTGTGCCGGTTGCCCGGAAACTGTCTGCTCGTGAACAGAGGGATTGTGAGGTCATCGAGAGGCTCATCAAGTCTTATTTCCTCATTGTCCGTAAAAACATCCAGGACAGGTACATAGAACAAAGTATAAGCCACGTGAATTAGTTTCCGGTTTTGTGTTTCACGCAGATTGCATTCTCTGTCTCTGCAGTGTACCAAAGGCTGTGATGCACTTCCTGGTCAACCACGTGAAGGACAGCTTACAGAGCGAGCTGGTGGGGCAGCTCTATAAACCCGCCCTGCTGGACGACCTCCTCACAGAGTCAGAGGACATGGCCCAGCGCCGCAATGAGGCCGCAGATATGCTGAAGGTAACGGCAGCAATAATAATGTGTATAATTAGTAATAATGTATATTAATGTAAAAGTGTTTTGTAATGCAGAGTAGCCTTTACATTATCATTAATTATTTGTTGTTAATTTAATTATACTGTAGTAATTTTTGTTGTTTAAAGGGGTCCTATTATGCTCTTTTACAAAGTCTTGATTTTGTTTTGGGGGTGTACTAGAACAGGCTCTCATACTAGGTTGTTCGAAAAACACATTATTTTTCACATATTTTACATTATTACAACACCACTCTCCCCAGTCTGGCATGAACAACTCGAATAGTTCCTGTATCAAATGAAGTCCCGCCTTCTGAAATACGAAATGTGCTGTGATTGGTTAGCTGGGCCAGTGTGTTTTGTGATTGGCACCACTCGGCGCCTGGTCGGGAAATGCCATGCCCCTTACCATAGCCACCTGCGAGCTTCAGTGTAAATATTGCGTCAAAATCAAATCAATTTGAGTGTGATTTAAACCCGGATGATTGTAATCACTCTAAGTTCTTCTGCCTTGGGAAAGCTAGCGCGTCTCCGACATAGTGATAACACT